ATCATGAAATAAACAAATAGTATTTACATATTTAAATATTTGTAAATAATATGTTTCAATGAAAGAAATAATTAGGGTTTTTAGGAGAAAATATAAAAAATAATGCATTTTGGCAGGTACTTGATACGATTTCATTCATGCGAGTTATAACACGATGTGATTCCGCATATAAATTGGTTGGGACGAGTTAATGCGTGCCACGCATAGAGAGACTGTTGCGACTTTTGAAGTATATTTTTGGACTTACAATTTACACAACCCGTTTAGCGACTTTCTGCGAACACATTGTAGATAGAGTTGTGCATTTATCATTATCGAGAGTTTGTATACCGAAATGCCATTTGGTATTCTTATAACACGCATTGTAAATTATAAAAGAGCCACACATATACAACAATTGTACATTTTTATTTTTGCAACATTTATCAGAAATAAAGAGTTTATATTAAATTTCATACCATCTTGTCTTTTCAGCTTTCACATCACGATTTTTCATCAATTTACCAATCCAATATTTCTTGTTATTAAAGAAGAATCATAAAATTTTGATCTTCCATAATTCTTTTATTAATTTCTAATTATTTATTTTCAATATTCCAACTATTATAAACTCGTAACTATGATTATAATTTGATATTTCTTCACGATTAAACTAATCATGACAAGTGGAAACTATAATTATGATAAGTGAAAATTATTTGTTTTTTTTGCGTTTGTGAATCGCAAAAAAAACTAATATATCAATTCAGAATAATTAATATTATCTTTTAAAATTACATGTAGACAATCTTGTAATGGAAATGTTTAGCTTGATGCAATAGTCGAGAAATATTGCACTCTTGAAAATATTGAATATTGAAAAGAAGGAAGAAAATTGCAACGAATAAAAAAATGACATCTTTCGAAAATTTTTACGCAGATTCACGATTTCGCGAGTGCGTTCGCGAAATCTTTTTTATCTCTTCGCGAGAATTAAATAAATTAATTGCAAAGATTCTTCTTTTTCGCAGAAAAATGAATCTTAAAATAAAGGCAAAGGAGGTGTAATCGCGAGGATATTTTGCATCATCTACCAGTCTAGTTTGTCACACCTGTTTGTGGCATTAAACATGTCGCTCAATGAAACAAAGTCCTTGGCTGATGCAAGAAAATTGGAGATTTCGCGAGAGAGACCGGACGGTATGCGACGACGTTGCTTTTGTTTGTTATGTTTCTAAACCGGAAAAGTTCTGGATCGAAGGCGATTAGAAACCGCCTTCTCGAGAAACTAATGCATTAATACATGTTATTCTTTCCATAATTTAATTCGTATATCTCCAAAACAACATTGAAATTATCAAACATATACATCTTTTTGTTTCATAATCATCCGCGATAAGAAATCGTCTGGCGAAGTGTGTGTAGTCTAGATGATACACACGATAAAAGTCTCGCCATTCGATAACATATGTCTGTCAGATATTTGATGGAAAGATATATATGTTAATCGCATGCACGAGATGTTCTTGGCTAGCTTTATTTTTGTGTTTCTACGATGTGGTCTAAGAACCTCCGATATTTTCCATTTCAGTTCTTATAGAGACACTTTTTAATAATAGAAATAGCAAAGTCTTCAATACCAAAGTATATCCTTTTCTATTCTTTATGACTTAATTAAATTGTTTTTAAAGTCCTATACATATATGTTTTGCATCAGAGCGTGAAGAATAAATATCCCCGGTTATCGCCAATAATATTTTTACCTAAGCCAGGGAAACACGACGTCACGAAAGAAATGATATAATGTTAAAGAGATATTGCGTGATATAAAGTATTGGAACATATGTAATTATTAATATTCATCATTTTCAGCAAATGTTATTAATCTTATCTGTTTGTTAAAAATATAATTCTCAATTTTTATTAGTATAAATAGTTTATGTTATTAAATAGAATTATAAATAGAATTAAAAAATAGTATTTTTATTAAAAACTCAAACAGATAAAAAATGGCAATAATAAGTGAGAATTTTAGTGCAAATATTTTTTTAATATCAACACCGATCTTTCGAGAAATGACTAGAATGATGATTGTATCTTATCGATAAATAAACCATATACGTTATTATAATATCTACATTTTTAATAAATTTTTAATTTCCTAAATTCTCGCAACAAATATACGTGGCCATATTACAAAAGAATTTCGCGCGTTATCGATATAAGGGATCAGGCATGTGACATTTGCATGACTCGTGTGTCCATGAATTGCACGCACTTCTCTCGAGAACGACGTCATCGGTTCTTGGTACCCGCATGCCCATAAAAACGTAGCCGCTTACGCCGCGGTTTCTTTCAGCATGGTTTCCTTTTCGTTATCAATCATCTTGAGCCGCGACCTTTCCCACAGAATTCACGTACGCACCTCCTCTGTTTGCCTGCCACCGCAAGATTTAGAAACTCTCTTTTAGATTCTTACATTTCATTTTATAAATAATTTGAATAGCAATATAAGTTTTGAGAAAATTTATATTTTGAAAAAAAAAATGTTAAAGAGTGATAAATATTTGTTACAGCTTTTTTTCATATCAATTAATATTTGTGAGATATAAATAAAGTAATTTGGATATCAATATACGAGTTACGAAAAGAAAATTATAAAGGGAAAGAAACAAAAGGAACGAGAATGTATTCGTAATGATTTATGAAAGTATACAATTTATTTGATTGTAGAAAAATCTTTATAATTTTTAACGATTTTTCCACTCAAGTCTTATATCGCCAAGTAAAGTTTACCTGGCTATATGATACATATACATATATACATTCGCAATCCTAGGACCTAGATATTTTACAAGTTGCAATACAATCATACTCTTTTGTGGAAGTGGTATAAAACATTAAATAAACTATGGAAAGAGAAAAAAAACATTTCAAATAGTTCAAGAGGGTAGAAAACAATTCCTCGTAATTTTTAAAAGTTAATCAAATTCATCAATGAATGATCTTCCTGATTTTGCTGTTGCAGCTTCACTGCTCTTATGCTATTTGTATTTAAAATATATACATATAATAATAGTTGTCGGCGATTTTAAAAGTCTATATATAATCGTTATATACATAAATGTCTTGTTTCTTCGTAAATAAATAATTTTTTCTTTCTATCTCTCGATCGACGCACTTGATGCTAAAGAGCCCTATTTTTGTACTGTTTAATTCTCGATAGTAAGTTAAACAATACAAAAATCTAAAAACGGTTCAAGCAATATTCGAGAAAATATATTCGAAATGTCTTTTCGATATATTTACAATGTGCCTCTTAGACTTTTGTATTGTCTATAAAGAATCTCCGACCAGCGAAGAATCAAGCAATTTTAAATGGTATCCTTGAAAATTTAACATCCGTTTTTATATCTCATGTATTTAGCATTAAATGTGACTACCTAATATCCGAATTCAATTTATTTAATACGACAATCACATTTCATATTGTTTCAACTTTGAAGAGCATACGTATGGCCACATTTAACGCCGAATATATGTTGCGAATATGAGCCTGTCTATCCACGGGTGATTTTCGAGATAGTAAATCTCTCAACTAAACGGTACTAGTCTTTACGCGTCACAGATCACAGATACACATAGGTACTCAGTTTGCGAATTATAACAAAGTCTTCTGCATATAATGACCTATCGCCGTCTCGTGCCTTTGCTTTTAAGTACGGCTCACTTCGGTCTTCATTTCTGCTCAACAGATATTTATTTCACATTTATTTCATCTGTGTTTGGTAATCTTGAAATGTCGAAATCTTCTTCATTATGTAACATCTTCATAAGAGACACCTTTCCAATTAACCAGATTATGCCAATAGATCAATCCCTGAGTTATGTTCATGCTTCCAATTGATATCAGTTCTGATCAGCAAAAAACATAGTCTTCATCTATCATATCCTGAGTACAATTTCGTACTCTAATTAAAACATCCGCATTGGAGGCTTTAATTATTGTCTTCAACACTCATCCACAATTCAGCGGATCATTCCAGTCTTCATTATTATTATAGTGCTTAAACACCAAGAAATTCTTTGTCTTCATCTTCCACACTGGAAGCCATCCAGGATCCTGAAGACGCATAAAGACCATGAAAAATCATAGAATATAATTTCCAAATGACTTCAAATAGTCCAATGAGTGCATCCTTCAAGCTGCCAGCTGAGGTGATACAAATTGCTGAACTGATCGTGATGTTAATCGTGGCGCCAGCACCGGTAGTAGACTCACTCTTAGAGGCGTCGAGGCCACCTGAGAAGCGGAGATCTGACCGTTAGAGGATGATAATGATGAGGCCTTATCTCTGGCGTGACGTTTCACATGCTTCGCCAAATGGTCGCTTCTCATGAATCGCCTTTGGCAAACGGCACAGGCAAACTTCTTCTCGCCGGTGTGCGTACGTTTGTGCCGTGACAGCTCGTCGCTGCGGGAGAAGCGACGACTGCAATCCTCGTAGGGACATGGGAACGGTCGTTCGCCCGTGTGAGTACGCGTATGAGCCTTCAAGTGAGACGACTTGAAGTAGTTCTTGCCACAGCCTGGATGCTCGCACTCGTAAACGCGACGGCGCGTTTCCACCGCGCTCGTGCTCATCGTCGTGGTCGTCGCGGTGGTCGTGGTTGGCGCCGCGCTGGTGACCAACAGAAGAGGTGTCCGTGGTAAAACTAGAGGAGAGCCCAACAGACCCGCTACCACGATAGGTGCGGGTTTGGGTGCCAGGGGTTGTAATCTTGGCAAGTGCTGCTGCTGTTGCTGGTGCTGTTGGTGCTGTTGCTGGTGCTGTTGGTGCTGTTGCTGTTGTTGGTGCTGTTGCTGCTGCTGATAGCTCTCACGATCAGTATTCTTACTGTTCACGATGATCTCCTCCTTACGCAAGCTCATCTTGAATTTTAAACTGCGAAGCACGTCCTGCACAGGCTCTGTCGCGCTCGCTCGCGCGTTCGCTCGCGGACTGGGCAACTGTCGCGCGACCGAATCACGTGATACCGATCGGCCACTGGTCGTCAAACTCCCCGCGAGATTCGCCGGACTGCAGGTACCGTCCCGATTGGCGCGCATTATTACCGAAACCCGGGCCGGCTCTGGGCTTGGCGGTGGCGTACCATCTAGCAATAACTGAAACAAAAACAACAAACGATTTTAATTTAACAAGTTCATAAGAAGATATTTTAATGCAAGAATTTGAACAACTATAGTCCACTATCGGAAGACGTAAACAAAACATTTTATAATCTATTAAATAAAAAACAGCATCGAAAAGATAATTGGAAGCTGTCTATTGAAAAAAATACGTTATCGATTCATAACAACAGATTGCAGTAAATCGTAGGAGACCGATATATCCATTTTTGTCGAAAGTATCGCTGGAAGATACGCCTACTCAAAGGATAAATAGGCGGAGTGAACCAAATGGTCCGCGCTCAAACGGAATCGTATCGCAACACGACTCCGAGAGCTCGCTCTCTGTTCCAGTCGATTAAGTCGAGAAGAGAAATCGAAAGGAAACATTGGGAGGGAGACATTGGAAAGCAAAGCTGCTTTCTGTCGACGACATGTGTGTCTGTCTATTTTATATTCACCTTCGCCAACTCGCATTGCTCGACACATCGCCGCTTTCGGGGCGGCTCGTCCTCCTCAGAGTCGGAGGGTTGAGGGGTGGGCGGCAACGCGGGGTGGGAACCCGCACCCCCCTCGTCCTTCCGCCCGGATTTCTGATGATCCGATAATTTCTCCCCCAGCAAGGCCGCGACGCTGAACGACAACTGTAGCGGTTCCATCTGTAAAACAAAGGGAGGCATGATGTTAGTCCAGCATTGGCATGAGACGCTAAAGTTAAATAAATGATGATTAATTTCTTAAATTGTTAAATAAATGAAATAAGGAATTGAAAAAGCATACTGCTTCCGATGTACAATAAGGCGAACGTGACTAAAGAATAAAACAGATAAGCATTTCTTTGTCCATCCTCGAGGGACACATTCGGATTAGAAAAAATTCCGTACATGGAAATTCTCAATATCCACAGTTTATAAATTTTAGATTAGTTTCTTATATATATTTTCTCTGTATGTTCTTTACACTTTATATTTTTTTTCATTATATGTCGATTTATATTGTCAATCTATTTTTCAATTAATTGAAAATAAACTTTACTCTGATAAAATTGAAATTTATCGATTAGTTACAGAGAACCAAATTAATGTTAAAATTAATAAAAATAAATTCATGTTTACATCAATAAAATTGATTAAAATTCTACGCAATATTATGCAATGAAATATCCGATAATTTACTACCCCTGATACAAAAATAAATTTACTATTTCGCTGAACGTACTAATCAATCACATACAGAGACGATATACCAGGAGATAATAAGAACATCTTGTAGAAGCGAATTCGTGGGAAAACGTTTGAGTTTCGCGGGCAACGGCGGACAGTGTTGTGGCGGTATATTTAATTCGCTGTCACTTACGTGCTTCAGCTGGGGCGAGGCCGGCGGCGAAAGAGGTTGATTCGTGTCCATGTCCGCGCGAGCAGGACGAGGAACCGCGAACGAGGGTGACCCGAAAAAGAGAAGGAAAAAAAAAGAAAAAACAATCGGGACACTTCGCTCGAAAAGCCCCAGGAAAAAAAAAGAAAGAGCGTATATGGAGCGCCGAGCCCTCTTTGGCAAAAGTGGAGCGACAGGTCCACCAGTAGTACGTAACGGACGGGCGTCTCGCGGCGCAATGAAGCTTTCTCAGGTCGGCGCTGGCTCGGCAACGCGCCGACCCGCGCCCGCACCGCGGTGCGTGATCACGCACGGCGCGCGGGCGCGACCAATCTCGGCGAGGGGCTCTCACTTCGTTTCCGAAAAATATGCCCGCGTCACTATAAATGCCGCACCTTGTATATATGTAGTAGCAAGATACACGTGGGAGCTTGTGTTACATCATTCATCGTTTTGTAAGCGCATCGAGTGCGATGTCCTGCGCGAAATCATCTATTCTTGTCATCCTCGTCACCTATTTCTGCTACATTTGAAATCAAATAAATACACGTTAGGCGATGGAGATAGAGAAAGAAGGAAACAAAAAAGAATCTAGTAAAAATATAGCGAGAAAAACCTGTGACAGAAGCGATTATCGAGTTGTCATTTGCAATCTTACACACAACACAGTTCGTACAAAATTAAATACAGTTCTACATATCAGCATATCTGGTTTAATAATGTACATAATTCGTTTTTGCGTGTTGAACTTGAACCGCTACTTGTCAGCCCTCGGGCAGCAAAACAAATGCCACGAAACGCCATCTCAAGCTCACGTGCTCGAATCGAACCCTATCTGTCAAATGTCCAACCGTAGGTAAATTTTCGTTAGGTATTGACGTGATCGATTGTCGATAATTAAATAAAATACGTAAAAAGATCAAATTAAGGACCGGAAATAAGTTGGCGCTGGAAGTTCATATTTTTTAATAATTTATAGCTCAAACGATTGCTCCTTAATTGCTCCGTCAGAATCCACAATTGTTCCCCTTTTAAAATTAGTAGTTTTCGAAATATTTACAAAAAACGTAAAATTTATCATTTTCCAAAAAAAAGATTTTCACTTGAAACGACTTTCGCGTTTTGTCGGTAATTTTGGATCCCCTTAACGATAAACTACATTTACTATATGAACTCGAATATACATCTTAGTCACGATTCAAAGAAATATATACTTGTATTATGCACTATCATGCATTGCCTGAAGATAAATACGTACGATAATAGGCAGATGTATGGATGTGTAGATCGAATTCCAAAGTACTGTCTCTGCTGTTTTTGCTTCTCCTGACGAATATATATATCCCGCGAGTGAACGAGACGAGCAGAGATATTATTATGCCAACTTTGACGAATCTACCGCCGATAGCGAGGCTGTCCAGCAAAGTCATCCGGATTCTAGGATGCAATCCTGGACCGATGACGTTACAGGGCACCAATAGTTATCTCGTAGGCACTGGGCACAGGTGATAAACGTCAATCATGTGTATACAATAGACAAGTGTCATGTTCGTGACATTTCTTGCGGACCGGTTGATAGATTTTTTAGGAGTCATTTGATAAAAAAAAAGAATAAATATCCTTTTTATTAATTAGTAAGCTTGAAAATATTGAAATCTACATTTAAATTTAATAAAATGTCAATCGTACTAATTGAATAAATATTGAAACTAATTGAAATAAATTTGAAGCTTGTTAATCTGTCTATCTGGAATTTATAAAAAAAGAACTTTTTTTTTTGTATGAAAAACAATGTCAATTAAAACTGTCATTGTTTTATGTTCGAAATTAAAAATGGAATAGAACTTTTTTTTAGGTTAGATGTCAGATCTCAAAAATTTGGTGTAATTCAAATATAAAGAATAAAAAAGTATTTTTTCCGGCTATTACTAAAATTAAAAAGACCAGGAAGAATTATAATAATTACAAATTATAATAATATTGACAATAAATTATCCCCATTATATATACGCAATCAAATTTTAAACAATTGAGTAAATAATGTTAAATAAATTACAAATCAAAAAAATGGATACTATTAAATTAATTGTGTATCTTTTCAATAACAAAATGTCTTTATATGCTTTGAATAATTATTGTAAGAAACTGCTGTAATATTCTGTCCAAAAAATTTCTCTTTAATCTATTAATGATAGAAAGATCACAAAAGAGGAATAAGTGAAATATCTAATGTTGAAACAAGAACTTACCATATCGTTCTTGTTTTTAAAAGCAAATTAATCTCCTTTCGAGTTATTCATTATTGCAGACGTGTATTGGTCGATTCAACGGAAACCAAAACAGCTGACGCCTATACAAAGCTTTTAAAGAATGTTCTAAACGAGGAAAAAGCTATCATCGAGCACTTGGTGATCACCCATTGGCATCATGATCATATTGGGGGAGTGGAACCTGTGCAAAACTTGCTGAAGAAGTTGTTTCCCTCGGACAAGCAGCCCACTGTGTGGAAACTGCCGCGATCGTCAAACCAGGAAAAATCGGATGATGAGAAGTCCATCCAATGGGAATCTCTAAGGGATGATCAAGTGGTGGAAGTTGAAGGAGCAAAGCTCCAGGTGAAGTATACGCCAGGACATACTAGCGACCATGCTTGTCTGCTGTTGCAAGATGAAAATATCCTATTCAGCGGCGACTGTATCCTCGGAGAAGGCACGTCAGTCTTCGAGGATCTCCACGATTACATGCTGTCGCTGGATAAGATCCTGCAGATGCGGCCCAAGACGATTTATCCGGGCCATGGGCCGGTTCTAAACGATCCGTTGCCACATATACAGTATTACATCAATCACAGGAAGCAGAGAGAAGAGGACATTCTGCGGGTACTGGCAGAACATGGAAATGATAAGTCAATGACAGGAATGGATATTGTTAAGCTGATATACAAGGTAAACATCAATTAAAACATACTTGAGAACACATATACTTCTTTCCAAATTGCTAATTTACAGTTTCAAATCATATGAATGATATTTTTTTGCATAGGATACCCCGGAAAACCTGTGGATAGCCGCAGCATTTACAGTGAACCATCACCTTCACAAGCTACAAAAAGAGGGAAAAGTGTTACAGGAACAAGAAGGTGGTTGGTGGATAATTAAAAGCAAAATATGAATATATCATATGGAATATCTAGAAAATTAAAATTGAATATTTAAACTGTGATTATTTAAAATACAAATATTGGAGCGGAGAATTTATAAATTGCATCCAAATCCTGGCATTCGGAAAGCTGTAAGAAGCCCTAATTATATATTTTATATACATATATAAATTTTGTGATTATTAATATTGGAGCGGAGAATTTATAAATTGCATCCAAATCCTGGCATTCGGAAAGCTGTAAGAAGCCCTAATTATATATTTTATATATTTTATATTTTGTTGTATGTTTTAATCAATTTTAATATAAAGAAGTCTTTATAAGTGAAAAAGTTTCCATACCTGTTATTTTCTCCATTCTTGCTTTTCTTAGTATTAATCATAAAAATATAATCTTGATTTTGTTATAAACTTCTTTTTCAATTTGTTTCATTCTTCTTCTAATATTGCTATGTGATGCTGTGTTCCGATTCCCCACCCGGGTGCACCCGATACTATAGTATATGTCACGTATACTATAATATTGGGTGCACTCGGGTGGGGAATCGGAACACAGCCTAACATAACATTTGTCAAGTAATTTGTAAAGTAGAATAACATTTTCCATGAAGTAGAATTTTGTTGACGTTGCATTTCAAGAATCTTCAGACAAGGAGGGGGGAATATCAGCTCATGGTCCCATCGTCCTCATGAGGACTATTCAAGTCCCTGCTTCAGCATTCGCCCTCGTCTCACGGGAAAATCACGGATCAAAAACCGTGGACGAAGTCCTCTTTCAAAGAAGCAATCTATCTTTCCGCTCCTCAAAAGGCTTTATCTCTGTTCAAAGTTTAAACTTCTAAAGAAAAGAAAATAATTTAGCTCTTCAAAAGATGTTCAACTCTTCAAAAGATGTTTAATTCTTCAAAAGATGTTCTTCCTTGTTGTTAAACAATCTTGAGGATCAGAACTTTGAAGGAAATATATAGATAGTTGGCTGTCCCTTCTTTTTCTAAAGCGCAAGAATTCTTCCAAAACGACATATCGATTTTGTGTTTTATCTCTAAACTATTATTACTGTTAACCGAGTTGTACTATTTCTTGATCACTTCTTTGCAGATTAATCTTATTTTCCTCAAAAAACTTTTTATAATAAATATCAATAATCGACTTTTTTAACTCATTACAAGAGAAATATGTCTTTCATTCTTTATTGTATCTGAATATAGCTATTATTTTGTAATGTATTTTTGTAAATTATTTATTAAAAAAAAA